GTTGTTGGCTGCCACAAAGCTAATTGCTATATTGGGTTTCTGAACTAAACAGTAACTGAAACAACACGAGGAGGTTTGGTAGGTGAAATGCAGTTATCCAAGCTGGAACTTGACAAAGATGCTACAGTTAATAACCACTCCTTCACAAACCAACTGCACCAGCTGAAGCAGTTAGGTTCAGTGTATTGTCTCAGCCAAAACCCAGGCAATACATGGTCTTCAAACATCACGGTGGGACTGAAGTGAGGCAAAACAGCGCAGACCATCACAGTGGCAGCAGCACCAGGTCTTCCTGCTACACCTCCTCCTTTCCCAGCATTAATCCAAACCCTGCGTGTGGTTTCTCCATTTGACGTGACTGCAGGACACGGTAATACTGTGCTTGTGCTTAACACCTGGCTACTTTGAAATCACTGTGGAAAATAATAATTAGCAAATCGGAAGAACATGAGCAATGGGTGTTTGTTTCACCAAGTCCAAGCTCCAGCTCAAAACATGATCGAACTATGTATTAACAGCGTGGCCGTAATCTCATTTGTAGTGGAATTCCGACCCAAGCCAAGGGACGTGCTTTTTATTTCGGTGGTGCCCGTCTCTACTCACAAGAGCAGCCTCCATGCTCCAGACCAGCCCTGCCACGGGAACCCTGCGATTCTAAAAGCTCAGCCAAGGAAAATACAGTTGCTGCAGCGAAGCTTTTGTGATTTCTGCACACGCCACAAGGTTAGGCGACCTGCCTTGGCGGTAATTTCGCAGCAGAGGCTGAGGCAGCTCAGCGCCGTACCTGCCTTCTGAAGGCATCAGCTCCTTCAAGTCTTCCAGCGTGGGCGCGACCCGGAGCATCTTTTTGTAGAGCGCTTGAGGGAAGGGAAAGGGAGCTATGCACTTGTTATACAGGGCCATTCCGAACAGGGTCCCGATCAGGAAAAAGGTGTTACCATGGCCGGACTCCTAGTTGAAAACAAAGAAACGAAGAACAATAAGCCGGACCAGGGAGGACGCCGCCCGCTGCCCTCCCCGCCCGGCCGCGACGGCGCAAGGGGGCAGGGGCTGAGGGGGCGCCGCCCGTACCTGCCTGGGGAACCAGAGGAGGGGGGAGGCGAAGTGGCGGGAGGGTGCCGGCTCGGGGGG